AATCAAAACAAACAACCCCCAAACTTTCATTCCATTTACGCGTCTAGAAAGAAAAGGAAAGATATAAATTTATTACTGCTGCGTATGCGTATCGTTATCGCTACCACTATGTCTATCGTCCGTAGGATAGCGGACGGTATCGGTAGCGATATATGTCATTCAAATGTCATAATTGTCAAATAGCGGCTACCGGTGATACCTTTTGAGGCTTCGAAAACTGCCTATTTTATCACGTCTTCGTTGATAAGCAATAACTGGCGCATTTTTAAATAATTTCGAATGTTAATTGATTCTTTTATGATCGAGCTCTAAATCTCTGATCGGTCCCAAATCACTTCTCAAGTTCTTCAACAAACTTTGGATCAACGGTGTGTTGATGCTTCAATGCCTATTAAGGCTCTTAAGGGTGTAGTATTTGTGGACTTTTGTATAGCAGTATTTAAAAAAAGTTGTATCTTCCAAAGTGCATTCGAAAAAATCAGAGTGAGCTGTAACTTTGCATGCATACACCTTTACTTTTATTATACTAATAATGTATTAGGAGTCCCCACCGATATCTTGTTTGCGTTTCAAGATATTCAAGGTCAAATGTATTAGAAATGAGTTTTTTTTAAATAACTATTTTTCTTTTAGTATAACCTACAAACCTAAGCAAGGTCCTACGGCTATTTTGGCTACAAAAGGAAAAGAATATTGGAAAATTCTCTTCAAAAAATGTTATTCACATATTTCACGTCAAACCAACCGTTTCCACTTTATACGCCAGGAAAACAGAGGGTAGCACCCATTCTATATCGATATCTGCATATAATGTTCAACGAATCACTACAGAACGGTATACTTTTTTTTTGGAGGGTGTATAGGTATCTACAAAGATTTGTGAGCGGAAAGTGACTTTTAGACACATTAGCATTGTCCAGTGAGTCAGCAAATATCAGGTCAACTTGCTTGTTATGAGAGTTCCGTACACTGTTAAGCTGGTCAAGTTCATAGGCGCCGGAATTTCAAAATTACTATGGGGGCTCGGGCTCCAAAAATTAAAATAAGTAGAATCAATTAGACAGACAGGACTAGGATACTAGATACATAGACCTAAATGGGACCAGTTGACAGATACCAATTTCACTGCAGGATCGGTACGCTAGATCATTGATTGTCCCTGCAGGTCCCTGTATATGATTAAAATTTGTGCATCTTCGACAGCTCGGCTATATTCGGCTTTAGCAGCACCATTGGCGTAGCCAGGATTTTGCCTTGGGGCGAGGCGAAATTTGCAGGAAGTGATCCTTGCTTGCAGCACCGCCGTATGCGCTGCAAGAGGGAAAGCGCCACAGGCGCGAAATTTTTGGGTCTTTTCGCGGTATTTATGAAACTTCTAATGGCAGGGATGCGGCCATTTGAACAAATTTTGATAAGAATTTATAGTAGAACAGAAAGGAAATAATAAACACAACAAAATATTCAAAATGTTTGTTGAAGTAGGTAGGTATAGCAAAAACAACAAAAACATTAAACACACAAGTTTGATATAAAAATGAATAGTTAGGAACAGGAACAATATATTTCTGTGCCTACCCATTACACCCACTACATACAATACCAAAATCACTATGGGGGCTCCGCCCCCATAGGAAATTCACTATGGGGGCTCAAGCCCCTACGCCTACGGTCAAGTTCTAATAAGAGGCTCATTCCATCGACAAGAGCCGTTTCGCTATCACTGCGGGTCAACTGCAGTACTAAGCAGTCCTCATCTTGGATCCATTTAAGATGTGGCAGGTTGAAGTCTCCAAAAATTATGAAGGGAGCACTGGCTGTTTAAGTGATTCACAAATATCACAGAGGGACTTGTAATGTCCTGATGACGAGTTCGGAGTAATATAGACGGCCCCTAATTAAGTCCTTGGTTTGATGCTTGCAGTGTACCCAAAGCTGTTCAAATGATGTTGTTTGCGCTCTTGTCTAAAGACCATGTACTCAGAAGAGAACAGTTCTGCATCTGAGAAGCCTTCGTTTAGCCAGGTTTCAGTTATATGACTATTATATCCAAGTTTGAAGCTACTGAATTTGTCGAAAGTTGGTGGGTTTTAGATCTTAGACCACCTGCAATCTGGTAGTAACATCAACAGCTGACAGTTTCGTCTATGTTGCGCAAGTTGGAGGTTGGGCGGTGCATGTGGCAGTTATTGCTAGATTGTGCGGCGAAAAATTCTTGGGCCTCGTGCTGAGAATCCCCTGTTTGGCCTCCGAGCTGAGGTGAATCTAGTATTTAGACGAAAGGACCGAAATCTTATAACTTCCACAGCAACAGGCCATTTGTTGGGATCCAGTAGAGAAGTTTCCATATCTTTATTTACTTCGACTTTGAAGCCTTTGTAGTCCCATGATTGTATTGATTTCCTCCAGAACGTATTCTTGATCATTTGCGAAAGTATTTTGTAGGTATAGCAGAAAGTTTTTCTTGGTGACATTATTATTGGAGAGCTTGCGAACAAATATGGGAAGCTTTGGGAGACATTTTAGCAGCTGATATTTCGAGATTTTCCGGCGTCCTAGTTCCAGTGATCGCTGGACGCCCTAGTTTTTTTTGATGTTGTCTGGGCACTGTTTCTTCTGGGCGTCTCATGCAGTTAGCTTGCGTGTGGAGGGGGTTGGAAGTTGAGGGGCTTTGTTCCTGATTGTGGCTCCTCGGCTCCTAGAGTTTGGATTCGTCACGTTTGTGGTCAGAGATCTGATTTGTTTTGTTTCTCAAGTGAGGAGAATCTGTCCTCAAATGTGTCCAATATTTTCTTGTGTAGATCGTTAAACAGAGTTCTTCAAGTTATAAATTTCATGTTTTAGCTCTTTGTTTTCCGCAGCATATTGTTCACGCTCAACAGTTGTCATCTGAGTGATAGTTAGATTCGCAAACTTTGTAAATCCGTCCACTACCACAATTAAGTAGGTACAGTGTGTCCCATTTTGGTTGTCCATAAGGAATAGCTCGGTTGCTATTGGAGTTAGAAGGATGCGGTTTCCGCGAACGTTGACTGGCTCAAACGAAAGATGGCGCCAACAGAATTGTCATTGCTCTTTTTGTTTTCCAGAAATTTCAGATACAAGGTGTTTTTGAAAAAGTTGCATTTCGGGACACTCCTCGTATCTCGGTCCTCTCATAGCTCGTAAAGGTGAAAAAGTTTCTTATAGATATTTTTACGAAGCTTCCACTGGCGAGACACCCTGTATTATAAACTCATTGGATAGCTTTGCTTTTGCTGATTTCAATTATATGAAATTCCATATAAGTTTATCTCTAACAGTTTTCGAGCAAAAAATGTTTTTCTCTTTTTGTCATAAGAAACAATGTGTTAGAAAGAGACCTTTCTCATTTTCCTTACAGATGCAAAGTCCTTTCCTGATACATTGTTTCTTATTACAAATCCAGACATGATCAGTGGCGCACCCAGAAAATATGTTTGGGGGGCCCTACATAGGTTGTGACTTGTGACTAAAAATCTAAAAAAAAAATTAGGTGTCAGGGTGCCACGCCTTGATGTTGGTACATTTTATATACGTAAAAATACAGTTTTAGAGTGGTGGCCTGGCCCGATGGTTCTCCCCCTGGGTGCGTCACTGGACATGGTAGAGAAAACCTATTGAAAAATATTGAATTACGCGGAAATAAACCACCAAGAAAACAAGTGAAGGTTCTGATTATCCTAAACAACTAAAGACCTAGGATCCAACTACCAAAAATTAATCAAGAATAACAAGGACCTATTAAACAACCATACCAGGAGAGATCATCACTTAGACAGCACAACCAGAAACTTCAATTGAAAATTATCTGAACATCGATATCCAGAAATTATTGAAAGCCGATACTCTATATTGTCTAATACATTGGAATGTGACTAAAGCAAAAGTTCATGGACCTTTTTTTAAGTGCTTTCAACAATAAACATTCCAAAGGAGCCGAAAAATTTCTAAAAGGATCAATAAATCATGCACGAGCCTATATGATGATACCCACATAACAAACCACTTAGGGCCATATTCTCCGTAGTTCATAAAGCCTGGCTTAGTGGAAAAGCTCGGCTTTGTCACACAAAAAGCCAAGCATTTCCACTAAGCCAAGCTTTATGAACTACGGAGAATATGGCCCTTAGCGACGCCCTTGATAATTAATTAAAAGAGGACCAAATACACTAATTGATCGGATGATTCAACACGATAAATCGAGGTCAGAAACAATAAAGAGGTTCGAGAGAATGGGTCCCTCCAATGATATAAAAAGGCAACTTTCGCAGGAGAAAATCAGTGTTCGAGAAAGAGCTAGTAAACGGGCAGAACTACGGCGTGAAAGACCAGTGTCGGTTGAGTAATCAAGAAACAAGTAGTAATCGAGAATCGAGAGACCTGTGTCCAGGAAGTCAGAACTACCGGCGTCAAAAACACCTTATTGTATCCACTAGCAACCGAGTTATCCCTTATGGACAACCAAAATGGGACACACTGGTACATATTTGTTTTTCTTTCTGCTAGTTACGAATGGTCCAAGATGAATCGTGTCCATTCGGAATAGCTACCTTTTCACGTTGTTCCATTGATTCCTTCGGGGCATCAAGAATTTACGAGCTTACATTCGTTTTTAAAACATTAGTTTGAAGTTGTGACATTTGCACTAGAAGAAAAACGTGACCATTGACCATTGGGCGTTCTTATTGGATACTTAAAAGTATATCCTATTCACAATCTGTAGTCCAAAGGTACAGGTAAATTTATCACCTTTCTCTATCAAATAGCATTGAAAGGTGATAAATTTTACCTGTACCTTTGGACTACAGATTGTGAATAGATAATACGCCTAGAAGACGTTCTAAAGGTTCTAAAAGACGTCTTTTTTTTAAAACGTTCCTATTAAGGCTTTTTTAAAACGTTCTGACGTCCTATCGGATACTTACAAATTAATGTTTCTTTCCAGATAACATGTAGTTTTATATTCTTTGAAATTGTTTCAGCTGTCCAGTGTCAGCCACCAGTTTTACCTGTACACGGCCACTTGATCCAATCAGAAAGTCCTGGTATGGACGGTGGAAGATACGCAGTGGGCAGTTTAGTGCAATTCGCTTGCAAAGGGGCTCACCTTTTGGAGGGCGAAGCCAGCATTATTTGCACTGAAACTGGATTTTGGAGTCATCCACCTCCATTTTGTAAGTAAATACTCATTTGTTTTGTTTGATTTTTTGAGCAAAAAACTAAGTTTTTGAACAGTTTTATTTTACTATTATTCGCCCTTTAAACACAGCTTCATAAAGTTAAGATGGAAATTTACTAATGTACCTAGTTATACAGGGTGTCTGGAATAACTTGAAATAGGTACATGATGGGGTCCATGGGGATTTTGGAAATCATTGAAGAAACCGGTTGGACAAAATGGGGAAAAGTTGCGCAATCAATTGCCTTCAAATAATCTGTCATCAACGTCTTTGAACTCAGAATCGGAAAAGCAATGGGCAAAAAAGAAAAAAGTGCGTCTTATAAAATCCCTTATATTATATCTTTTTTATTATAAAAGATACAATCAAAAAAGTTGATGACATATTATTTGTGGGCACTTGATTGCGCTATTTTTTCCCAATTTGGTTCATTCTGTATCTTCAATGGTTTTCAAAATCCCCATGTACTTCCAGTTATTCCGGACACCCTGTGACCCTGTATAATTTCTAGGTTTTTTCAAGTCACAATGAGGTGAAGTTTAACTCAAATGTAACGCAGAATGTCATGCTCAATTAGATGTAAAATTTATATTACATTGATGAAAACCATATTAAGTAACAGTTTTGCATTTTTGGCCCTGAAAAATTTTAATCATCCGACATTGCTTCACAAAATCGCTCATGACTCAACTAAAATTCTATAAATTCTGATGTATATTTATATATTCCTAATCAGAATTAAATGCTCTTCAAGATAAAACAAACAATAATCAATTATCTCAAATAGTTTTCGAGATGTTGAGCCTCAAAGTTGAAACTTCGTCTCAAATTTTGGAAATCCTTCAAAGCCGATTATCTGGAAAACAAAGCCTCTAGGTGTATATGTATTTTATTTGAATTAGTGTTTTTACATTTATAGGTAAGCCAAGATGTCCATATTTAGGCGAACCAGAAAACGGTTTGGTGGCGCCAACAAAATTCGCTTATGATCCCGGAGACGAGCTCCAAGTCACCTGCAACCCTGGATTCGAATCCAAGATCGAAGAGCAACGAATCAAGTGCCTGTCTGACGGAAAATGGAGCGGTGTAATGCCAAACTGTACGAGTTACGAACAAATTTAAATTGTTCTAGAATAAATAATAAACTTTCAAGGTGGAACTGAAATGTATCTTGTACAAATTCAAGTATTCTTGTATAAGGAATTGTCATTTTATACAATAGATAAAAGGTATAAAATTGAACTTTTAATAATTAAAATACTGTTGCGTTAGGTAGGATGAATTATTTAGCTGAAATAATTATTATACCTAGTTGTGTAGGCCATACTTTTGTATTGTTTTTGTATTTGTTGTATGTACTTACTGAAAACAAACACGTGCCTGTTTTAACATACAGTTGATATCAATAATAATTATAGGCATTTTGGTCCATAAATTGTTTAAATAAATTTATTGATTTTGAAAAAGAGTATTTGTATATTTAGAATTTAGTGTTTCCCAATAAAACAATAAGTATGGACGTTTTACATTTCATTTAATATTCAATAAATCTAGTTTAACATTAATTACTTACTTAACATTACATATAATAAGTTCTTGAATTGAAAACATAAAAAATAAAATTATCTCCTATTGTACAAAATTTTTACATCAGTCCCTCAAACTTCAAAATTCCGAATAATCCACAATGTTAAGGCCGCAAAGCATTGCGGGTTATTTGCTGATATCGGCGCTTTTCTGCTTTTTGATGATGCTATCCAAAATCGAGGGCAACTGACTTAGACGTTCTTTAACATCTTCATCCTCCAAATAATCTTGTAGTTTCACTGCCGTCAAAGCGCTGCTCACGTTCAGCTTAATGGAGTTAAGTACTGTGCTCTTAGGGTCGATTTCTGATGATAATAATGCAATGTTGGCCAGTTCGAAGCAAAGATAAAGGACTTGTTTGCATTTATTTAAATCTTTAGGCCATTGGTTGTCCTTGGTATAGGCTTTGTAAGCACGTTGGAAACGTTGCGTTTTAAGGAGGGTAGTTGGAGCTAGTTTGGCGTACAAGTCCCATACTTCACCTTCTCCTGGATATATTGACACTAGACGACCTGAAATAATTTTGTTTATACACAATCTGGTGTTAAAGTAAAATATGTATTTTTTTGGACATAAAATACAATTATGGATAAAAAAGTAGTTTCAACAACATTACACAGACATTGCAGGCAAATGCTGTATGCCATTTAAAAAAAAAATTAAAAAAATTACCTAGTAATTCTCTAGTTTTCTGCAAAAACCTGGCTCCTGGTAGGCCTTCGCAATCGATAGTGTCGTCGGTCACGTCAGAAACAAGTTCGAGTAGCACTTCAACGTTGAGGTATTTTTCTTTCAAATCGAGCAGACGATGGTAGGCTCTGATGACGTCAGAGTACATGGAAAGGTCACAACTGACTACCAAGAAGTTTTCCCAAACCTAGAAACGACATTATGAAAAATAAATTTAGATTCCTCTAGCAGTTTAAAAAAGCTTGATGGTAAACCTGAAGTTTACTGAATCTAGTTTTTATTAATTAAATAAACTCAACTGAAAAACGGAATGAAAATTACCTTCCAATTCTCAAAATTGCACCTGAGAGCTTCCAACAGTGCCTGGTGGGCGCTGCGCTTGTTTCCAATTTTCAGGTAAGCTTGGGCCAAGTTATTCCAAGCCTCGAAACCATCTGGTTCCAATGTGGTGTATCTTTTGTATGCGGTGGCAGCTACTTGCCAATTTTCAGTTTGATGAGCTGAAAATCTAAAGAAAAAAAAAACAACATCCAGACCCAATAATTTTCACCGACTTCTACAAAATAGCAATTCCTACTTACCCTAATCTGAACCAAACATTAGGCTGCAGGGGATTAATAGAAACACTTTTCTCAAAATGCGGTATACATTCAGCATACTTTTTCCTGTTATACAAAAAGTTGCCCCAGTGTCTTTGGGCTCTGTGGCTTCGGCGTTTGGACAAATCCCAAGCTTTTACATAGCAGGATACATCATCAGTGGAGTCACCTTAATAAAAATATTTAGTTCATCATCAATTAATATTTTAAAAAGGTTTACCCTTACCTAAAAGACACCACAATTTAACAGTTGGTTTCTTATCTAGCTGTTGCTTAATAATTTCAGCAGCTTTGTGTCGTAACTTCAAAATAGTGTAGCAAACAATAACTTCTTCCCAAAGCTGTAACTTCAAATAAAGATCCAAGGCGTTCTTTGGCAAGCCAATATTGAGCAAGAGATCAGCATATTGTACTGTAACTTTCCACATTGCTGGCAAACCAGTACCAAACACGTCATTGAATCTATCGAAAGCTTCAGGTTGCTCTTTTGTAAAACGACTTAAAACTTCTTCGCATTGTCTCAAGGCTCTTTCCACTGTTCTCCTATTTTTCGATTCGGCCCTACATCTTAATAATAGAGCAACAACCTTAACACAAAACGTCGATTTCTGGGACAAAATCAGCTCGACAAACGGTAAAAGTTCCTCAGTTGATAACTCATCTGAAGGTTTTGCTATTAACATCTCCTGGGCTATGGTCAAAAATAATTTTAGGGCTAAATTTGGTAGTACCAAATTTGGGTTTACGTCCATACATAGGCAAACGTTTTCATGCCTTGTATCATCATTTAAAGGAAGATTTTTGGGCAGTAAATTTTCATCTGTATTGAGAATAGTGTCAAGTTCAAGTGTAAAACTATCATTTGTAGCTGGATCTGATGAATTTTCTTCACAGTTGGCTGCATCTAGATTTGCTTGCTGGTGGGAGTCTATAAAAAAATAATAAATTAAGGTTTATCAATATGATTATATGATAGTTGAGTTAAATACCACTTAAAGTAATTTTCAAAGCAAGCTGTGAAATTTCATTTTCCTGGAACTTGGTGCGTTTGCCCAGAATACCCACATAGTCATATTTGTAAGATAGGTCGGCAGCTGAAGTAATATGCTCTTTGGCCTTTGAGACATTTCGAAAGAGTAAATACAGTTGTGCTATTTCAATGTCAAGAGCTACTTTGGTGGTTCCTAAATAAACAAAATAATCAGTGATATTTTTCACAATCATATAGTAATATTACAATATTTCATACTTGTGGTTTGCATAGTTTTTGAGAAATTACTCAATATAAGGGGGGTTATTACATTTCACTTTACAAAAACTATTTATTAATTTAGATAATTTGTAACTTTTTTGTTGTTTTACCTTTCAGATTAAAATTAACTTGAAGCAATTTGTATAGTCTGTCAGCATCTGACAACAACGAAGGACTGAGTTCGTCTAAAACTTGCTGATGAAGATACAAAGCCCTCCAGTACCACCAAATGTTAACAATACTATTAACAATGCACCATTCAAAAATAATCTTTGCAGTTACCTGAAATCCACAATCAATTAATTACAATAAGGACTCGGACAAAAATAACACTTACAAGAAGCTGAGGAAACTCAGTTTTACAATTGATCTCTTCATTGTTGTAACTCAGCATTTTGTTGAAGTCTTGAGATTGAAATATTTCTTTGCTGAGGAAGTTATTGACCTTTTCGCAGGGATGAGGCCCAGTGAAATTGGCTTGGGTGAATGTTATCAGGCACGACATACCAAACTAAGGAAAAAAAATTACTAACTTTTGAATAAAATAGGAAAAGTCAAGGTGTTTTCGAAAATGTTTAACAAACTTATAAATGATTATAGATCTTAGTAGATTGCAGTGGTGTAGTCAGCTTTTCTCTAAAAGTAATACTTTTCAAATTATCAACCAAACATACATTTTTTTCAAAGGAAGTGTCAACGCGTCAAATTTTGAAATTTAAATACAAATGTAGGCTCTGCTTATTGGGGGTAAATATCACTGGTTTAGGGTCGGTTTCTCAATAGCGAGTCGCCTCCGGGTTGGTTTTAACTCCAAGGTAAACGTGTCCAGTTGCAATTTTTACCATGGGAGTTATGCTCAACCCGGGGATGACTCACTATTGAGAAACCTGAATGATAGAAATAAATAAATTTCTACAGGTTATAAATCGGCTACCGATTACCGTGATCGGCTGAATAACCGAATACCCCCGATACATGACACACGTCAAATCACAGAATAAAAAAGTGCGTGTGCGTTCGAAACCATATTCGGAACGCCAAGTAAAATTCTACTTTCATGACATCACATTGCCTAGCAACCATCATCATCGCCTGTACAAAACTCTCTCGAACCTATAATATAGATAGGCAACTCAATACAAACATTTTGTTCCTGATTACAGCGCCCTCTCGCATGTGTAGTCAGTAACTTGAGAGCGCGGGAAGCGCTCCTTTTAAATTTATTTTTCTTTCCTTTAGGATCCGTTTATCATTTTTTATTGCCACTAGCCCTAAACAATTTAATATGCTTCTAGGTGGAAATAAAATTATGATGAACAGTCTCTTGATCACATACTGAAGAGTTATATACTAATTATTAATCCATGGATTAAATACAAAAATAACAATTTTGAATTAATTTATTGACTACAGTATGAATATCAATCCAATCAATAATAGGCACCTGCAATGAATGAGGTTTTTTGATTGCAAACGTTTTGCAGGCATGAAATGAGCACCTAAATAGAAAGAAAAGTTACAGTGGTGAAATAACAGGAGGTAAAATCCCGATTTCGGTATAATGTAGGGATTGAAACATACCTGCTCATCATTTTTAGGAATTCGATGCATTTTTACTCTGTTCCCTCGGCTTTCACACATTGCCACACAACAAGATAAATCCATTTTGCTTTGAACGGAGAAAATTTTCAATCTCTGATTCGAATTATTGAATAAAAACGAAATATGTCAAAATTTGTCAAAATATGATGAAAGTAAAAGTGAAGCGACGCTGCCACATGTCAAAAGCATGGGATATTTGTTTTGAAAAAGAAATGTAATTTCAAATTGTCCTACTGGCACTTATATGTTAGCGAGATACACGACTTTTCTTCCCATTCAATTCAATTCAATTCAATTCAATTCATTTATTCCTTTTTTGATTACATAGTAATATAAGTTTGTCACTAAAAAATATAAAATATAAAAATACAATCAATATAATATAAGCATAGACACACATATACCTATATCCATACATACACCTATACTAGAGTTCTTTCAAACACAGACAAGAATACAAATTTTCCTAATTTACATTATTTTCCTTAGTAGGCCATTAAAATCACACTCAACATGCAGTTTTAAAATTTGTGAAGAGAATCAACAGTAAGCACAGTTATATCCATTTCTATTTAATTTATTTGTGTGGTCGAAAAATTCATTTACTGAATAGAATGGATGTTGTGTAACGTGGCGACGACACTGTTAGCTTCGTTTTGTTTGCTGATGATACTACCTGCAGTGTGCGACTCAAGACCTGCGAGGAGATTGGTGGGAGAACGTGCGAGATGCAGTCGGCTGTGAGCGAGTGGTTTCTTGCAAATAATCTGATTTTGAACGAATCAAAAACCAAAAGGATGGTATTTTCTCTCAGAGACTGTGAAACGGATCTGGAGACGGAGGATGAGGTACGATTTCTGGGAGTAATACTGGACTCAAAATTAAAGTGGGATTGTCATATTGACAGTCTTGCAGCTAAGATCAGCAAAAGTGTATTTGTCCTCAGGAGTCTCTCAAATGCTGTCTCCAATAAAATACTCAGAACCGCATACTTTGCTCTTTGCCATTCACTTCTCTGTTACGGTATAATTGTATGGGGGCGGGCGGCCAACGCTCATAGAATCTTTGCTCTGCAACGAAGAGCTATAAGGGTGATAGCTGGGTTATCATACAGGGAGGACTGTCGGAATGCTTTCGTCAGACTTGAGATCTTGACAATGCCATGTGTCTTTATTCTGGAGAATGTGATTTATGCCAAAACTAATATAAATAAATTTAATGCCAACAGTGACTATCACAACTACGATACACGCTACAGAGATAACTTAACTACTCCCTACTTCAGACTGAAAAAATGCCAAAATGGTCCAAATTTCCTGGCGGTAAAATATTTTAATAAATTTCCCAAGGCCCTTAGAGATCTTCCGCTAAAGCAATTTAAAGAAGAAATAAAAACTATCCTAATTACCAATGCTTTTTATTCATTGGATGAATTTGAGAAGAGTGACCTGTCTTGTTAGCCTTTTTAGTTTTAGGTATTTTAGACTTGTTTTAAATCTGTTGTAATTGTTTTGATATGTAATTTTATTTTATTCTATAATTGTTTTGTAAATGTCATTTTATCTTGTGACTTATCTATAATTCCATGTGTGTGGACATTTATTTATTATTGACTTGTGTAAGTTTTGTATTTTAAACATTAGCATGAATAAAGAATCTAAACAATCTAAACAATCTAAAAAATTGTTTTATTTTCTTTTTGAACTTCCCGTAAACCTCTGACCTTTTCACCTCGCCAGGCACTGCATTGTAAATCTTAACACACACATAGTAGGGACTATCTTCATACAATTTGGTCCTATGCAATGGTGTAAGGCTCTGATTATTTCTTGTTTCCTTATTTGAGTTTGTGTCATTGTTTTTTCGAAAAAGGTTTTGATTTTTATAAGTGAAACAGCATATTTTGTACATATATAACGAGTAGACTGTCATTATGCCCAGTCTCCGGAACAGTGGGGCACAGTGCTCCTGATAAGGGGCACAACATGCAGTCCTGATTATTCTCTTCTGAACAACAAATATTCTCTGCATGGTTTCCTTATGGGAGCCCCAAAAGAGGATACCATAAGCCATGCGTGAATGTACATAGGCATAATAAAACTGAATCACAGATCTCCTGCCAACGATGTCTCTTACATTATAAATTGCAAAGTTGGCTGATGTAATTTTCTTGCAGATCTCACTTCCGTGACTCTGCCAGTTCAAGAGCCTAGTTATAGTGAGTCCTAGGAATTTCGTTTCCTCTGCTTGTTGTATGTTTGTTCCATTAATATTAAGAGTTGTGGTAGTTTTATCTTTCTTTTTTGGATTTGGATTTTGGAAATGAATAAAATTTGTTTTAGTTTGGTTCAAAATTAAATGCTTTTCATCACACCAATTCTGCATTTTCAGTGCAGTGGAATTCGCAAGATCAACAGCCGTTTTTTCATCTTTGTTTGATATTACGCATGTCTTATCATCATATATCATTCTTGGAAGCTTTTTAAAATAAATAAACAATAATCTGTACTTTTTACGTATAAATTTGACAACAGCATTGTATGACAGCGCCTCTGCCGTCTGTAGTCGCAAGCTTTTAGCGGAACAAATTGTGCCATAAGAGTTGCACATGCATGGCCTGTACTGTACACGATAAATAGGTAGTGGGTGACATCATGAAAGTAGAATTCCACTCGTCGTGATCCCAGCCCTGGAACAAGGAACCCAACCCACAAGTAGAGAGTAGAGCTCAGAACTCGGTTACAGAGCGAAGAGCGACAATCGACTTGTAATCCATATTGTACTAGATTTATGAGAGAGGTACTAAAGTCCGACAAATACCATTTTAAAGTCACGTGATACTGGTGGCAAAAAACGTATGTCCATTGATTATGTCGTTGATATCACCTACAAAAAGCTATTGGTGGTTAATTACTATTGAATTTTAATATATGTTCCCACTAGCATTTTACAAACGCGTTTCTGAAGTAGTATTGACCAATCAGAGGGCAATTTTGATACTTGCAATTGTTGCGAGACTCATTTTTGTCACATCCGCTGTTTGTTGTAATACATTCTGAACTTAAACTGGGTACCCGTTTTCTATTCGCTTTTTTTCGAGTTGGAAAAAGGTTAATATGGTCAAAATTATTAGCTGTGTTTGTTTGTTGTATTATTTTCGAAAATAACTTTGACACACTAATTGATGACAGTGACGGATTCTATTTCAGGTAAGAATATTATGAACAATAATTAGACAGCAATTTTTTTGTCAATTTTACTATCACCGCTGTTTGAGGTGTATTCAACAAGGATAGAGACTAAAAAATGGTATTTGTTGGACTATAGCGTACTAGGTGAAACCTGATTGTGCTAGATCTAGTACAATGGGCCACTTTCACATTTTTCAAAAACATTTTTAAATTATACTTTTAGTCATTCTAATACTATATGTATACTTTTTTTCCGAAAAAAACGCTTATTTTTGAAAAAAAAAATTATTTAAAAATCGAATTTTTAAACTGGCGGGAAAAAATGAACTTGGTGTGTGACGTCACACACCCGAAAATCAAGGATGCGAAATTTCTCATTAGTAAATCATTACATATTTCACTAGCTAGAAACTATTTTCGTCCTTAACTACATTATAAAAAAATAAAGGATAGGTATAATCCTTATTAACTCATTTAAATTTCGCATTTCTACATGTGGCAACAAAAATGTCAAAATCGGCTTTAGCCAATCACAGAGCGTTTTCAATCACGTGATTTTTCGTTTAAATTTTTAGTTTTTATTTATTAATTTATTTAATAATCTGACTAAAATCTTGCAAAATATTGTTCATTCTTGGTTGCATTGATGTATCTGCGTCAAAAAATATTATAATTTGCCATATTCCCGGCACGTGAAAGTGGCCCATTGTACTAGAAATAGTATCCCTGTAGGTGACAGGTTCAATAGTAGGTCTGTTTCTGCAGAAATCACAAACCAGTCGGAGTGAATTTCATTGGTTGAAACTAGTTTTCTGACTATTTCCAACCAATGAAATTCGCTCCAACTGGTTTGTGATTTCTGCAGAAACAGACCTAATAATGTTACTGAATTTGTTCCTAAGTTGGAGACTAGAGAAAAAAAATAAACCGTCCGGTTTGACGCCTGACGGTTAGTTTATAGACACATATAAACAACCGTCTGATGGTCCTTTTGCACATGATCAACAACCGTCTGACGGTGGATTTACAGACGATAGGCTACCGTCCGACAGTTGGGTAGACACTTCCGTTTTCAAATGAGACACCCTCTATATTAATAACTCATATGGGTAGCTCTACTTTTGGTAAAATGGGACACCCTGTATATGTGATTTTGAAGACAATTTTGAGGATTCAAAGATCAATGTCGAGTATTGAGTTTTTTTAAATGAAAATGTATGAATAATGCTCTCGCTGGTAGCGCAGTGGTACTCTATCTCTGGCTTCAAAACTTAAGTAAATATTTATACTTTACCCTAAATATCTCTGATCGTTCCTGGTCGTTCTTTGAATTTAGCTTAGTCTTCAAGTTGGTGATGTCATATTGGTCCTCCAAGAAGATTTTCCACGTTTCTTCGTCCAACAACAAGTTTTCCAAATCCTCAAACGTTTTTCTCAACGAATCTCTTGCACTGTCCCTTTCATTCTCGCTCACGTTTTTCGGTATCAAAAGGTACTCTTGCAGTAAGCCCACTAAATCTTCCATTTTTTTAAACGGTAAAGCGCCTCATATAGAATTAATTAAAGTGGGGCTCAATTTTGCAAAAACACGCACAGGATTCGCACTTGAAACGAAAGGTCCAAAGCAAATTTCCTTTTAAAAATAAATATGGGCGAGAGTGGGGTTAGGTTGAGAGCAAACTGCAAAGTACCATTTCTTCTTCTTTTTATTTACTTGCTCTGTAGTACTTGGGCGATGATTGATTACAATAAGGTGGGTTCGGCTTGCTCACTCCGTGCACTCCGAGTGACTCCATTCGCACTCCAGCCGTTCGGGTTAAGGTTCGGGTATTGCGTTTTACCGTATTAGGAGTGACTCGATTAGCTCTGTTCACTCCACGCCAACTCCGTGCTGAATAGCCGAACCCAGCTATAGTTGTATTCCTTTCAAGAACTTGAAACACTAGAGCTACTCGCTCCGATGTTAGTCGACCCCGATTTAAAAGCAACAGATGCGCTGACTTTCATCCATTTAAATGGTTTGAGTCGGGCTTCAGCACTCAGGTGCAACAAACACTTTTCAAAAGTCAAACAGCTGATTTGTTTTGTTTCAAAACAACCGTCAACCGTACCGTGACTTTAGAACGTTCCAGTTTCCAATTTTTTTCTTCTGTCTTCTGTTTTTCTCCACAATAATGCATATGATGCTTTTACCTCTGTTTTAACTTTCTCAAAGAAATTTTTCTATCATGTAAGCTTGACAGTTTACACATTTCACATCTGCGCATGCTTACTCTAGAAAATTCTCTTTCCGAGGTGGAACTTTTGGACTGAACTCCATTTACTCCACTCCGTATAGTCGAACGCTAATGGAGTCACCGCCAAAAAGCAATACCCGAACGGCTGGAGTGCGAATGGAGTCACTCGGAGTGCAGGGAGTGAACAAGCCGAACCCACCTCACGTATCCAAAATGTCAATTGACAATAGGTCTGTTCCCACAGGAGTCTCTGACTGTTTGAAACCTGTCAGAAACAATCGCTCAGCTGAGTTACAGATTTATCTTGTAACGACAGCATTGAAAACATGTATGGGCGATGGTTACTGACAGTTTGCAAACTGTCAGAGACTTCTGTGGGAACAGACCTAATAACTACTGACATAACCTCAAAAATTAAAAATTTGTGGCGCCAAAAAAAAAGTAAACACTTGTTTGGTGGTTGCTAATAATTTACAATATTTTATTTTTTATTGTGTAATATGTTTCAAAAAAGCATCACGTAAGTAATTTCCAACAATTAAAACACATCTTCATTAAATACCTCAATTACAGATCGTTTTTTAAGCCCAGAACCTCTTCTGACAACACGAATGATGAGTTTACTGGGTATGTACAATAAAAAAAAATGTTAAAACTACCTAAATTCATTTCGTTAGTGCCTGTTTTGAAATTAACGTTAAGGAGTAAATGTTTGAGCTTAAATATAAACCAAAATATTCGTAGTATTTCTTTGTGTAATGTAGTTTTAAAAAAATATCCCTACAGTTCGACTAAAAATGGAAAACGGGCAAGGAAGCTTAGCACTAGCAGTGAAGAAGAGGAGGAGAATAATCAGTAAGTTTTATTCATTTATTTAAACTATTATTATTCTTTTTACAAGTTGAGAAATATTAGAAAGGCTATACCTAAAATCGTTCTATCAATTATTTGTTTAATTTATTAATTAATAAACGGACAACCCCATTACAAAAATAATTACCTACAAAATGAAATTATAATCAAACCAAGCCTAAGAAACTAACAAAAAATAATAACAATCCCAAATAAGTACTTACCCCCTTTAAAGGGGGTGTGCGCCAAAAATTAAAGTTTTAGTGTAAAAAAATCTAAGAATAACTGTTCAAACCTCGTTATTCTACGATAAACCATCGCTGAGATATACCGCTTTAAAGTGTGTGTGACGTCACGAGAGCTTCTTCCAGCCGCGCTCCGCATTGTTAATTTGATTGTTCCCGGCACGCGTGAGTGGTTTTTGTTTAGATTATTGCAGGTGACACAGGAAAAACATATGTACAATTCAATTTACTTCACTTTCTCGTGCGTCGCTTAAGCTTTTTTGACATCATAGGCTGAGATTCGGTACCTTCATAGAGCCATATCTTCAGTATTATTTGTCATAGAGGGTTGCGGTTTTCACTGTTATTCTTAGATTTTTTTTCTCTTTTTTTTAGAGATGAAGTTGTTTTTTTGGCGCACACCCCCTTTAATTTTTTTTTTAAAGGATTATTGAAACAAGCCATTGAAAACATCTCCTCCCTGTTTAAAAAATCCAAAGTTCTATCCACAAAAGAATGTCTCCCATGGAACCCAACAGAAAATAAATTATTTTGTCTCAACATTACTTGCAGAACAGCAAATTTGACTTGAGAAAATGAGAAAGGACATAAAATTATTCTATTCAATAGCATAAAAATAATGCAAACATCAAACATAATCCTTCTCCTTTTTCAGTGGAAGAAACTTGAAATAATTTATTGTTATAGTCAGCAATGAGTCCTAAATAATATTTATAATAATTGCAAAACCTTATGTGCTGAACCGAGTGCTGAACATTATTATGCATAAAAGATAATAATGCATGTGATAGATTCAGATTAAGAATCTTATTTATTTAATCTTAATTATTATTATTATTTTTATTTTTTTAAAGCACACCATAAGTATGTAGGTATATCTAGTTTCCTAAACTTGCATATTGTGTTTTACTATTAAACCCAACAATAACACACACCAGAACTGACTCTAATAACCTTCGATAAAAAATTACCGATTTTAACAATCCGTAAGAAAACTAAGAAACCAGGGCAGAGACTCTGTAACGAATAAAGATATTTTCTCTATTGACGTCCCCTCTCTATTGATTTCGAACAGGGATCCAGCAAGTGCCATAGCGATAGGGATAACGATCCAGCCCAATTATTATTATTATTATTATTAGTTTCAGCAGTAGGCGGATTTAAAATCCGATGAGACTACTGAGTCTGTTGTACTGCGTGTGTCATTGTTTGGTGTTATTAAAATCACATTTAGATTGGTCATGCAGAGTAATGCACAAACATATTGTTCCAGTCTTCGATTTCCTTGTCAAGGCGATTTTTGAATTGGTTCTTGGATGTTGAGTTTACGGTGTCGCTGCTCAGAGAGTTCCAATGATACACCACCCACCCTGTTGGACAGGAAGTTTCGTCTAAGCATTTTGTTGCATTTTTCTTTGGATAGCTTTTTGTTGTGACCCCGTGAGTTTTGATTAATGCTGAGTTGGTATATATTGGTTAAGTTGCAGGCATAGTATCCGTTGAGAATCTTAAATGTCTCGATAAGATCTCCTCTGGTTCTGCGGTCTTTCAGTGTGGTCAGGTTCAATTGAGTCAGTCTGATTTCATATGGCAGATCTTTAAGTTCACTAGGAAGCTTAGTAATCCGCCGTTGTACTCGCTCGAGTTGTTCAATGTCCTTCACATAGTAAGGATTCCAGATTGATTGGGCATACTCAAGTTTTGGTCGAATGTAGGACTTATACAGTTTCAAAATCATCTCTTTAGAGTGGTCTTTGAATGCTGTTTTGATGAGGTATGTCATTGAGTTTGCCTTTTTTGTTACATTAGTGATGTGTGTCTCCCATTTTAGGTCTGCCGTCACTGTGATTCCAAGGTCTTTCTGCTTTGCAACAGTTGTTATTGGTGTTTGTTGTAGAAAATAGCTATGACTAGGGTTATTCTGGCCTATGTGTAGTACAGTACATTTGGAATCATTAAGTGGCATTCCCCACTTTGTTGTCCATTCCTTTATTCTGACAAGATCTTGCTGTAGGTCCTTATGTTGTAATAGAGGGTTACAATATAGGTTACCATCATCTGCAAAAGATGCATTTTTTGTTGTAAGTCCCTGGTACAGATCGCTCAAGTATGTTATGAATATGAGGGGACCGAGAACTGAGCCTTGAGCAACTCCGCTGTGTACTTTGTGCTCCTGCGACAGGCTAGTACCAATTCGTACCTGGAAAGTTCGACCAGACAAAAAACCATCACCAATCAGCCGTAGTAAATCACCTCTGACTCCAAATTGCTGTAGTTTGTATTTGATGTATTCGATTGGTATTTTGTCAAACGCCTTTTCGAAGTCAAGGTAGACCACATCCATTGGTTCTCGGTTGTCATCAGCCAGTGACCAGTCGTTGAACCTAGTTAGAAGGTTAGTGAATGTGGATTTTTTTGGTAGGAAGCCATGCTGCTGTGAGGGTATGATCCTTGTTTCCAAGAAGAAAGATGTAAGTTCTTTTGCTATGACTTTTTCCATGCACTTACACAGCATGCTAGTTAAACTAATTGGCCTGTAGTTTTCTGCCAACCGTTTATTTCCTTTTTTAAATATTGGTGTGACAATAGCTTTCTTCCAGGCTTTCGGAAATTCCCCTGTTGTCTGTAAGATGTTTAACACATTTGCCAGGGGTGCTTTTAGAACTTGTACACAATTTTTGAGAAAAATGGAAGGAATTTCATCTATTCCAGGACTTGAGTTGGACTTTAATGACTTTATGGCAACTTCTAATTTTTCTGGTGTAAATTCGATGTGATTTATCTCAGTTACCGTGTAAGCATTTACTGGTAGTGTGGGCCTAAGGGTGTTTGCGTCCAGAATAGTAAAAACACTCTGGAACTGCTGCGCGAAGCACTCTGCGATTTCCTGATCAGATTTGAACGGTATTGAGGTATCCTTATCTATTAGATTGAAGCTGGCATGCTTTGAGTTTAGCGAACGGCTTATGTATGAGTAGAATTGTTTAGTGTTCGCTAATAAATTGTGTTCATAGTTTCTCCTGGCCGATACTGTGCAGGTTTTTGTTTTGTTGTTTTGGTGTTGATAAATTTGATAATTTTCTTCAGATTTGTTGTTTTGGTAATTATGCCAAAGATTTCGCTTTTGTTGAATTTCTTTGAAAACTTCTTTTGTGAGCCATGGTTTTTGCGGATTAACTTTTTGTGGTTTGTTTGGGATGTGTTTGTTTATTGTGTTTGTTAAAGCCTCGTAGAATTGGTTGAAAGTCAATGGGTTTGCCAGTCTTCTTAATTCCTGTTCAAGTGTTTCATTAACTGCGATGTAATCTGCTTTCCAAAATTGCCTTTTGTAAATTTTTCTGGTTGGTTGAGCAGCTACATTTATTTGTGACTTGGCTGTGATTACAACATGATCACTTTTTCCCAAGGGTGCGTGTGATTTGATATCAAAAACTAACTTTTTCTCATTGGTTATGAGTAGATCAAGTAATGATATCTGGGTGTTGCGGATTCTTGTTGGAAAATTTATTTGCTGATACCCCCTATGGTTTTTATAGCTTTCTAGGAAGGCTTGGCTGCACTGGTCATTTGGATGGACTTCCAGTGTATTCCACTTTATTTCGGGGTAATTGAAGTCTCCCATGATGTAGACAGGTACTTTTAGTGACAATGCATTTTCGATGGTTTTTATGAGTTGTATCTTTTCTACTTCTGTGGTTTTTTCTTTAGGTCTGTACACACATGCAACTAGAATTTTGATTTTGCCAATCAATACCTATTTCTAACCAAATTGATTCAACAGGTTCTATTGTCTTGTATGTTTGAGATATGGTCGCGTGTACATTGTATCCTGCAATGTCACTTTTAACAAAGGCGCAAATTCCGCCACCAGCTGCTCCTCGGTCTTTGCGAAACAGTGAGTAACCAGGTAATTGGATTAAGCTGTCTGGTATTTGCTCAGTTAGCCATGTTTCAGTAATGAGAATGATGCTCGCGTTAGTGCTTTGAATACTTATTTTTAGTTCATCGAGCTTGTTGGTCATGGAGCATAGGTTACTGTACCATAAGGAGACTTCAAACATAGTGGCATGCTTTAGTTTTTTGCGGTTTGTTCGTGGGAGATAACTATCCTAGGGATATTATTGAGATACCTGATCTTCAAGGCAGCCTCTCCTTTTTGTTTGCGTTCTTCCAGTTCTTTCAGGATGTTTTTTAGGTATGCTCTTTGAATGGGTGTTTGATCTGATTTGATATAAACTCCTTCCTCTTTGAGATTGTTTTTGTTTCTGAGCACTTCTCGGGCAGCAGCTATAGAGGGCAGAGTCACACGGATTGGTCTTACTTTACCCTGGGACTGTACACCCAGTCGATAGACTTTAATGTCAGTTCGCTGAATATTGTTATTTACTGATTTAATCAGTTTGTATGCTTTTTCTGGGTCAGAATCTGGATCATTTTGATTATTGCTTTCTTTTGCTCCGAAGATCAGTACATTTACAGATCGTTTTTGTCGCTCAGCCATTTCGCAAAGTGTTGGCTCAATAATTGAGGTGTGATCCCCTGGTGGGGGTTGAATTTGCCAATCTCTCAGAAAAACCCAAATTTTTGTCAACTTCTTAACCCGGCGTCGGACAGGTGGGGTCTTATAGACCCCACTTCGATGTTAGCTGCCATTATTTTCGTTTTTTTGCGCTTGCCTGGCCACGCGTCTCAGTAGCCTCCACTTAGGTATTCCTCTAGCTGAGGCAAAGCGCAGTTTAGTTGTCATTGTGATTTCGG